CCGAAAATCAGCCAAATCCCCCAGCCCGCCTGGGGGGCAATCCCAGCCGGACAGCGGCAGGCGGACGTGCCGCAGGCGGCAGCCGTGGCCTCAGAAGCCCTCTGCCGGGCTCGGCGCCTCCGGCTCAGAACTTCCCCTACTGCCTTGGGGACGTGGGCTGCAAGAAACAGAGGGGCGTGGGCTGCAGACCCCAGCCCCAACTTTAAGGGTATTCTGCGCCAAGGTGGCATCTGTGTTCAGTGAACACCCACGTGTGGGTGGGATGTGGGGTGAATTCGGACACCTGCATGCAACGACCATCAAACTGAGACCTGGAATACCCGTCCTAACCCCAGGAAGGCCCCTGTGCTCTTTTCGATCAACCTCTGTCTCTCATTCTGGGAAGACACTGGTCTCTCTGTCCCTAGAGACATGTAGACTTTTGGGGTCATGTGGCCTCACTCACCATGAGCACTCTGCACCTGGCCTAGCCCAGCGCCCCTGCAGCTGTGGCCTCCTCCATTGCAAGGCTTCCACCTGGTCCCCTGGGGCGAGCCCCTGCCCCTGTGCAGCACCAGCTGTTCTCTGCTTCGCTGGCTTCGAGGAAGGCCGCTGCGAATGCCTGCACTGGTTGCCGGCTCTCCTGGTGCACGGCTAGGAGTGGGACAGCGGGCCACCGGGCAGGTATGGCGTTGACGTTACTAAGAACCAGCGAACGCCTCTCCAGGTGGCTGTACCACGTGGCACTCCCACCAGCGGGGCTCAGACCACACCCCTGCCAGCACACGGTGCTGTCTGCCATTTTCAGCACCTCCATTCTGGCAGGAGTGCCAGGGCGTCTCGCCGTGCGACCTCCAGGTCCTGGGGGAGGTCAGCCTTTCCCTTCATCTCAAGTTCATCTTTTGGAGTCACCTAACCCATGGAACTCCTTCCAAATGGGCCAAGGTTCACTCCTAGGGCTGCCAGGTGGGAGCTCAGATTCATCCTTTCACTCTCGTGGCCGCCTGCTGTACTCGGGAGACAGCCCGTGCCCCTTCTCGTGGCCTAGACCCTGCGTGACCCAACCCGTGCGCCTCTGTCCTCACGGTGACCAAGGCCACTTTCCCTCCTGCTCACCATGCTCTGATCTGCTGGCCCAGAGTCAGTCCGGACCCTGGGAACTTTGCATAGACTGCTCCTGCCAGGATCTCGTCCTCCAGTCCCATGTGTGGGTAGATGTGTGTCCAGGTGGAAGGACTTGCCACTGCCCCCTCGAGCAGCAAGTGCACGTGAACTAGGAGGTGCTGGGACAGTCACCATGGCGGGCCCATCGCCAACCTCATCTCCCAGGGCAGGAAGCAGGGGCTCAGCAAAATCATTGTCACTGCCCGTGGTCGTGTCACAGTGAGGGGCAGAGACGAGACCTGCCTCACCTTGGGCCTGCAGAATCAAGCTCTCCTTGGTGGACACCCTGCATGGTCTGGAGTCTGGCCTGGCAG